TTTTCGCTGTCAAGAAGGATGACAGAATGCCACCCATCCAGGTGGAATTTTTGGCATCTAAGTGATTTAACCATCAAGCAATCTCCAGCAAGAAGCCTAAGATCAAAAAGTCAACGATTCAGAAGCTGAATGTCAAGCAGCTCCATTTACTTATTCATTTATTAATGCCAACGCAGTGTAGCCAAAAGCAGCTTGTCTTTTAATTCGATAACACTTTGCGAATTCAGATTTTCTAGGACTCTAACTTGGCGAAAATAAGATGCAAATTTGATTTTAGCACAGAAAACTGAAAAAGGTGTCAGTCCTCACCTTACGTTAAGCTGTTTAGTTCGAACAAAGCTACCGCCCGAAGGTGCGCTTAACTGCACGCAAAAACCTGCACGCCGCGTGAAAACAACAATACAAACTTAATGAACAAATAGAGCAAACATGGTTTGATTGCACAATTTCGGTTTTGAAAAAACATGGTTTTGCTCAAAAAATAATCAGTTTTATGTTACTAGCAATCAAATCATGTAACTCTCTCCGAATTTTCAAACTGAGTGGTTGCTTATGAGTTTATAGCATTTTTTGAAATAACGATTGCCAATAAACAGAATATATAGATTATAAGTTTAACCTACCTATAAAACCAAAAGCTGGCATCTTGCGACTTTCTGAGATGTCGTGGAAATTCATTCTGCGATTTTCAGAAGACTATCAATGAAACACTTCCATTTCCCCTTTTTAACTGCAGACGTGTGCAATACTTGAAATTTGTATAGAAAAATAAACTAAAACAATTAGGCAAATCGCGTTATTCGAACGAATATCTTCATGAATCAGACATATCTATTTCACTACGATGTGCAATAATTTATCTCCAGTAAGATATGATTTGGAAAAATTCAAGAAAAATAACCATATTTTGCTGATGCAAAGTAGTAGAGGTGCTGACTAAGCGTCTTTTCGCTTGTGAACGACGAGATGAAATAGATATGGTTATTTTTCTATGATTAAATCGTCGTTCACAAGCGAAAAGACGCACTCCACTTCACGTCACTCAGTGAGACGTCCGAGAAGATCGCAGTCGTTTCGTTTAAGTTTGATTTAGACTGTGTGAGTTTAGCAATTAAAAATGACAGCGAGCACTCAACGTCAGTATTAGTGCTTCCGTCTGCAGTCAGTAATGAATAATTAATCTTATCACAAAAGTTAATGAATGCAAAACCAATTTTACAAACAGAAATAAATAAGGATTAGAGGAGCATTTTTGAAATTAATCCTGTCTCCAACTCACAGCAAATATCGTTTGATACTGGAATGCTAAATTTAGCCATTACTACAGTCTAGGTAGTCTCAACCAAGTCCATCTCGATCGAAATTATATAGATCAAGACCATCTCGATCGAGATCAACTCGATTTCAAAGAAGCTATAGTAGATTCTATTGCGCGTGCTATGAAAATCTCCGTTTATACTAAATTTTCGAAAATGACTCCAAAGATACTCACAGACAAACAAACGCCAACGACTATCACAGAAGAGAAAACTGCAGAAGAGCAGATGTCAAAGTTCGTTGTGGAGAAGAAGATGAGCATCGAATTACTAGAGTTGTCCACGAAGTGGAAGACGTCTGGCGGCATAGCAAGATTTGTATCGAAGGACGAAGCAATGACTGCATAACACAATGTAAAGCATCCATACGGTTGAAGAACAAAACGATGAGTTCCGATCATTATTTGGCTATTTTAAGTAAAAGTAATTTTTTAGGCTATTAAGTGGACATCATGTCGAAGTTTCATTTGTGCTTCCAGAAATATCCATTCGAACTTGAACAAGTAATCGGTATCGTATGATACAGCTGCGATCAAATGTACATAAAATGTCATGCGGTACCAATTATTAATAAATATTACACTGATATGTTTCCAATAATTTGTCACTTTATACTTACTGTCTCTCGTATCTCTTACTTTTGAGAATCACGTAAAATCGCTGAATATTCCGAAAGATTGTCCTCTAAATGAGATAACAATCTTTATTTAAAGACGACTTAACTTCAACTGCGAAACGCTTCAGACCTAATGAGCTATTTTAAATATCGAAGAGCAGCAATAAAATGACTGAGAAATGAAATGTGTAATTATTTTTATTTCATCCATAGATTAAATCGAAATCTATACGAATATAATTATTTTTTGTAACGATGCGAGATTCGTCCGTGATGCTGACATTGTCGATAATTGGCAGTGGTAGGCCAACTTTCAGTGCTGCGCCTAATACGACACGCACTGCTTTGGCCAATAATTTTTGCATAAATTGCAGAACCCTACAAATTATTCCGATTATTAGTTTATACGAATATGATTTCTCTTTACAAGCAAGTTTTGCAGCTATTTACTTCAAGATAAGTCCATATTAAGCCAACAGTTGAAGGGTTAAGTTTTAATACTAAGGTATGCGATAATTATAAAATCTAGCGCAGAAAATTTTTGCTAAGTAAGAAGACAGAAAGGTAGATCAAAAATTATTTCATGATACAAGTAATCATACTTGACGTCAAAGTGTCCAATGATGGAGTCATGCTCACGTAATGAAAGAATAATTTCGCCAACAGATCCTACAAGTCTTTTCTTGAAAATGGATGGTATCACAGAAACTGTCGTATTCATAACTGAAATACAAATTAACTTAAAGTAATTGCAATTAGAAGTCTATTAACTTGCAAGAAACCTTAAAAGAAATACTTACTGAGCTCTGCCAGTCTTTTAGATTTTTGTACATCAGAAGTTAAGTACAAATCCACGTGACATTCTATGTATAATGCAATACCATTAACAGTAATTACAACCAGTGGTACTTCCTTTACACCGATTAAAACGTCAACACTTTCGTTAGGATATTTATGTCGTAAAGTAGGGAAAAACTGTCCAATACAAATTGCAGTTAGACCACAACTAAATTACAATCATACTCCAAGTTAACATACAGATATTATATTAATTAAAATTTCAAGTTACAGGTAGTTAAGATGCAAATATTTGAATTGACTGAAAATCAGTAAATTTTCGGCAAACAATTTCAAATTAATTATTATCGCATGTTTTGATGGCAATTTTACTCAATTACTTTTCATAACTTATTGATAAGTAAGTATAAGTTAAGTGTGATTTAATAATGTCTAATTTTGGAGTTATGTGAAGAATAGCGAAAAAACAACTTAGTCTTTAAGAAGTTGGCAAATTGACCATGACTAGTGCTAGATGTGATGGCAAAGGTCAAATTTTCATTGTTGTAGAGAGTATGAAGTAAGCAATTAGGAACATGTTCTGATATCCATATATGTGCCATTCGATTCATTGAATCAACTTCTAAATAATATCAGTTTCTAATAATTTTATATATCACAAATTTTATTTCATATTATTTTTATTTTGAATTGAATTGCTTAAATTGATGAAGAGGAATAGATTTTAAATAAACTGAAAATTTATCTTAAAATAAAAAGCAGAAATTTGCAGATTTAAAATTAATTAATGGGAAGCAATAATTCTGACTAAAATACAGAGAAGCGTCGCTTCATAAGCAAAACTTTTGCAACATTTATGCTTAAATTGCATCACTTCAAGTCTCATTCTACTGTTATATCAGTTTCTGACAATTACTATTTGTGTAAAATTATATATAATATTTGGAAATTGATATATGGCTGATTTATTTTCAGTTCAAAAAAACCTTCAAAGTCAACAATCAGTTGCAGAATTCGCTCAAACATGATTATCCTCCCAATTAAACATAATTTGCATTTGATTTATATTTATCTCTACTACTTTTGATATTTTTTATAAGCTGACCTTAATTCACAAACTGATCTCAATTGATAAAACCATTAATATGGAAAAATACTGGGCTCGATTTCACTAATTTGTCAAATGTAATAAATATAATTTCATTAATTTGTCAATTGTAATAAATATACTAAGTATAACTTCGTTTATTACGTAAATTTCTTAGTAGTATTACGTAAATTTCTCACGTAAAACACTCAAACTGCTCTTTTTACCAGAAAAAAATATGTAAGTACTGCTTTTTCACAAAACGAAGTAAACTTACCACTATCCATTGCTTCGCTTGCTAATGCGCATTTATCTTTACCATACGTAAGATCGGCTACAATTTCACTTTCGATATAATTGTTCATAACTTTTGGTCGTTGCTAAAAACTGATAGTACTGCAAAAATTATTCTTTCAAATAATAAATACAAGATTTAAAAAGTAGTACTGTGGAAATGATTATTGAAAAAGCTGGAAATTTTGAAGAGATTTTGATTCGAAAATACTCTAAAACTTATTTTTCAGAAAAAAAAAGTTAAAAATAAGTTTGAGACGAAAATTGTAGCGATACTATGCGTGGCAACTGATTAAAGAGGAAAAATATTAGCAATCTGTGAATACAGAAAACATTTGCTATGACTATCTGTTCTATACTTTGAAAATACATAAATTTGATTTTAAATTGCAACGAAACTAAGATCTTACCTGGAATGAATAATGAATGTACAGATTTTTGTACACTTTGAAATGAGTCGCAAGTTTTGATAACGAAATGTCTAAGTCTGCGACTGCTCTTCGCAACACACCACACATCTGTTGATGACTTGCTGTTATCGGAATATTTATTTCGTTTTATGCTAATTATGTTTGGTTTTATAATTTTAGAAAATTTTGCTCATTTTAACCCTTAATGCATCAACAAATTAAAGAATCAAACTTTTGAGAAACTCTCATTTAGTTGAGTAACAATTTATGATTCTGATGGCATTGTGATTTGATACAAATTTATAAAACATAAAATCAAATACAAAAAACACACCATTTTTCAATATAATAATTATTACTATTAATATTGATTTTTTTCTTGATCAAAAGTCTTAAAAAAGTATTCTAAATTCGTAGCAGTGACTAGAAAACAGATACTCCGAAACTTGTATAAAAGTTTAATATGATATGATACGATATGATATGATATGATATGATATGATATGTAATAGCTGAATAAAACCTTCTTATGAATAACTTGTCGAACTGCAGCAGCTAGTTGAGAACGGAACAAGTTAATGATCCACTGAATAACACCACCTGTGACGTATACTTCCAAGTCAAGTACCTCCGTAAAGCAATGCGTAATCTCAAGTTGTGGACGATTATTTTTTACTTCAAAATTTGTTTGCAAATACGCGCGGATATCGCTAATTTTTGCCTCCACATAACCCGACAAATGAATCTAAAGTTAATTATGAGTTAAACATATACAAGGTTTACCAAGAATGAGCTACTTCCGTTGTATTATGTTATCTCGACTGGGTTGAACTGGGCTGAGTCAGATCTGAAGAATTTATGAAATCTTTAGAATTTAAATAACTTGGACTTATATTACAATAAAAAAAAGCAGCTTACAATTTCAACATAATCATACACTGCTAGCCAGTATCCATTTAATTTTATGAATCCATTTGTAGTTTGCCAGATGATTCCAGTCGGTGCTCTTAAGTTAATAGTAATATTAGGTGATTCAAATGATAACAAGGTTAGCTGCGTAACATTCACGTTACCAGTACCAGGTCCATCTTTGATTGGTATTGATATTTCTGGAAATGTTACCTTGCCTATCTCCTCGTTCACCTTAATTTTCATTTTCAGAAATTTTTTAAAGCAAAAATGTATATTTAACCAGTTAGAATATAGCAAAAATTATTGACAAATAATAAATAGGGATAAAAAAAGTAGAGAGAATTGACAAACTTATACTGTCCACTGGCTAACTGATCAAACTACAAGTCGAACAATTTACTATCAACTCATCTCGTTATCAGTTAAATGAACTGAAGAAAAGCAATCTCAGACTAACTTCAGCTCTTGCTTATTCCACTTTACTATAAAGCTAATGAACTGAAGCAGTGTTAGTCAACCAAAAAGCTAAAAGAAAAAGGAAAAAACCATTAAAAGGAAAATAAATACATATGCATACGATGTAATGTCCAAATTTGCTGAAGAATATAAATCCCTCCTGAGTAAGCCTTGCCCGTACTGTTGCGAACTCTTCTGTTGAATTTGCCCGGCAATAAGCAACCGTAATGATTAGCAGAAAGTAATCCGTCAACATTGCTGAATTCTGAATTCTGAATTATTATGGCATAGTCATCATTGCATCATGCATTCCGCATTCCCCCTCACATACCAAATCATATCATTACGTTATGAAAAAAAGAAAACAAACATTCATTGCACTAACATTTACTGAAATTTCATAGCTAATATGACTTTTGCATTTTGCATTTGTAATAATATTATTATTAATAGTACCAGTGCAATGAAAATAAATAAATAAAAATTTGTGCTGACAATAAGACCAATTTTGGCTGCTATGAAAGTGATCAAACGTAACACAAAGATATAAAAACGAGTAAAAAATTATCTCTGAAATTATTAATTATAAAAATATTCCTAAAATTAATTATAAAAATTATTTTTTCAATATAAATTTTCAGTTTTTAATGTATAATATTTATTGCAGACAAATTTGCACACCATATGAGATAGAGAATGATATTTATAGTGCTGCTGAAGAAGAGCTCGAATTACAATTGCTCGCAAATAATAAATAAATAAATGCAGATGCTCATTTTCTACCCGAAGCACACATATCGCATTATAACTTTGTTTTTTATCTAATTGCTATATACCAATAAAAAACAACGCCTCTAATTCAGCTTTTATTAACAGTCTTTTGAGAAGTGAAATCAGAGAAGCAAAAAAGTAAAACACATCCTTCGTATAATTTAAATCTATTTAAATATACACAAATCTATCACTAAGATTTTAAGAACTTGCATTTACAAGCAGAAACAAACATGTCATATATGGCATACTGTTCGAGATATATTTCAAGTGTTTGTTTCTGAATGAATTAATAAATGTATTAATTAATTAGCTAATTAATTAATTCAAAAGTTTTTGTCTTAAATTTGAATACGTAAGTTGAGTTTTTGTGGTATGGTTAAGTAATAGGTGCTTGAATATTATTTAAGGAAAAAATATTTGTCAACGAATTTGAAATGATTAATAACAATTTGCAATTAGCGTACTCCAATATTTACACTAATATCCATGATGATTCATGGTAAATTTTCTTCCAAATTAATATGACTGCTTTTGCTTTTGTACATTAATAAGTGTTCAAATTACAGTATTGCAAGAATAGTTCCCGACTTCTAACTTGTTGATTTATTTGCATCTGTTTATGTCAAACTTTACCCAAGCACAATTATTCATCATACTGATACTAACTCTTATCACTCTTCTGAATCTCTCGTGAATTCTCGATTTCGTGATTTGCTGAAGCAAATGTTGCACTCAATAAAGCTATCACTTCACCCGTAAAAGATTTCTCCTGCATAACCAACTAACTCTTTAGATCAATACAGTACTTAGCTCCTAAGTACCGTCCGTATTAATATAACGGACAAGTGCTTCTTTGACAACATTGAAGTAAGAATATTTGATAACTTTATCACTCACAATATACTTAGCTCTAACAACCGTTAATTAATATCGCTCGTTCGTCATCAGTACTAATTAATAATTATCTTTTATAAAGGTTTTGAAGATTATTTTCAAGATTAGATTTCAAGACAAGATAAGATTTAGATTAATAAATAAATGTACGCACTACATTTATTATATAAAGGAATAATTCAACCTAAAACTGATCTCACCAAGCACTCTTTAATCTCTGTGTTTAAAGAGTGCTAAGTGATAGCTAATCACTCACTGTGTTTCTATACGTTTAATTTCACGTAAACACTCGTACTGCCATCTTTACAAGTGCTATCGTACACTATTTTTACTTATTTTCTCTTAACACATCAAACTATTCACTATGCCATCCGACGTCAAATAGAATAAATAATTTATTGCAAGGAACATCTGCTTGGGTTATTTATTAAAGAACAAAGGTTATGTGCTTAGGAACTAATTTCCGTGTACACTGTGACATATGAGCTTTTGTGTCGAGAAAGATATTGGATGTCAAAAATTCAAAATCTTACTTTACCTACTGCTTTCCTATAATTATTAAGTATTATAAACATACAATGAAAATTTTTGAGTGAATAATAACTTCAAATCAGAAATTTAATAAATCGTTTTTTACGTAAAAAAGTTGCGTCAGCATTCTCAGACGTGAAGAATACGATCACAACTAAAAGCAATCACCAGAAAAATTGATGCCGAGAAGCTGATCGACTTTTGAACTGAATAAAAATCAAACGATTAGAACACTAAAACAAAGAAAAAAAACAATCTCATTCATTTCCATAATTTAGCTCATCTTGCAGTATTATCAGGAGAAATTGGAAATAATATTAAAAATGTACGCTTAATAATTCTTCGATCAGAATCCCAAATGTGGAATCCAACATATTCTTGATGGGAATGTACTTCATAACTGCAACATCGAAACAGAATACCAAAGAATGCAAATTAGTAATGTATCGTAATTCTAAAATCTTCACGTAACTTGCGAATGTTATGGAGATAAGCATTGCATAGGTCATTGTATCATTATTTCATGAATCTTTATTGATGTCTCAGAAAGTCTGAATCAAACATTTTAAACCTGCTTCATTAGCCATTACAAATTTTTCAAATATATGCAGTAATTAAGCAGTTGTCTCTGCGTTACTTACGCATATCATCTATCATCGATAATCTATGAAAGTTAAGTGATCAGCTGTAGTTAATACTTATCCCATAATTATTATTTCATATTTTTAAATAAAACAAAGCTAATATGAGTGAATAAATTTAACAATATTTTACTTTAATACCTGAAATTTGTAAATATTTTTAAAGTTCACCAAAAATTTTCAGATTTTTTGTGGAAAATCGTGAAGTCTTGAGCGAATATTTTGTTCTACTTTACTTATTTGCTCAGAAGAAAGTACTGCTATAAGTGGTGCTTTATCTACCTATCACTGTTAATGAAAGAGAAGGAAAGCAGCATGCATTAAGAAGGATTATGAAAATATTGGAGGATGTGAGTGAGATATCAAATGACGGAAGTGGACATCAAGTATGAAGGCAAGATGGGTTTGCTTAAAGCAAAGATGACTGCACAGTATGTGAGCTTAATACAGACAATTGTGTATGGTAAAATGATCTGTTGAGGACTTGAAGGCATATCTGTTCAAGATAAGAATTTGTTCCCACCTATTGTAAATATTTGTTGCAATAACAGTGATTGCACTGAAAGCTTTTTTGTCCATTTATTACCAAACAAACAGTAATACACCAAAAAGTGAAACAATACAAAATAGTATTGGTACTTTTGTAGAAATTGTCATTCTTGAGGTCATAGTGTATTGTAACAGGTCCCAAGACGAAAATGGATTTAGTTTTCTGTGTTTAAAAATGGGCAGAGTAAATATTATAAATATGTATAGCAAGCACCTTAATTACTGAAGACGTTATCAATGTTATCAACAAACTAAACAGGATAATATTGAAAATGTCCAAGTCTTGATTAATTAGCTAGCGAAATGATATTTTTGACACTTGAAGTATACATTATCAATTGTTTTTTACTTAAGCGTGCGTTGTAAGTATCTTTGCATTATGATTACACTGAAGTTTTTGATTATTAATAATAATCGCTTGATATTATTTAACTCATTATTTATTCTGAAAAAATAGATTACAATCGACTGCATTCTTGATTATTTGTCATGCTGATACCAACTCCTATCATTCTTTTGAATCTTTTATAAATTCTAGATTTTCGTGATTTGCTGAAGCAAATGCTCTTAAGTACTGTACTAATCTCAAAGATGCTAAAAATTAGCATTTCTGACTGTTGAATAAGAAATTCTGCAAAACTTCGGTGCAGTGCTGAGGATATTATTCATTGCTTGATATACCGTAGGTTGCACAGAAAGCTCATAGCTGTTTAGAAGAATTATATTTGATTTTATACAAATGATCTCAATTTAGCCAAGTTTTGTACTACTTATCGTTGCTTAAATCATTTAAGATTGAATGAAATTTAAAATTTTTGTTTCGTTTTAAAATTAGCAATTTTTAGTTGCAAAAATGTACCTTAAAAAGATTTATGCAAATATTGCAATGTGTGAAAATGAAGCAAATGTTGACATATGTTCATTTTGTCCACAAATGAATGCTTCTGGTCACAGTAAAAGAATGCATTATTGGATGTACCTAGCAGTTAATCTTAGAGGTAATTGTTTGATCAAATTTTTGATCACAAAGAGATAAACTGTGATTTATGAAGGATATGGTAGAGATAGGTATAAACTATACCCATATTAATAATGACTTGCATTTGCACATAATGCATTGTGCTGTATTGCACATTGCTGTACTGCACATTGCTGTACTGCACATTGCTGTACTGCACATTGCTGTACTGCACATTGCATATGTGCAGCTAAGTATGCATTGCTCTTAATCTTTTATTTTTACATCTATTTTTGTTATTTCGCTATTTTCATTTTTTTGTGTTATAAATATTTTGTTATCTCAAATCATTAAGTGAATAAAAATATGCAAGTTTCGATTAATCCCAAATCATTTTACCGAAATTTACTTGATAAAAAATTTGAACACTTTCTTAGAATCAAAATAAATTGCAATTTTTTTTAACTTTTGTATATTATTTTTGGTTGCAATGATTTGTTCTTATCATAAAAAAGACTGTTATTATTACTGTTAAAATTGTTATCACACTTTGAATAATGCTGCACTTTTGTGCTATAATTAATCGCAGTACTGTCAAGTTGAACATACATATTTCTATACAAAAATTTTAATAAATTTTATAGCTAAATAATGTAATGAATTGTAATCATACATTTGCATTCAAATTAGCAATTAAAATTGATTTTGATCAGTTATTTGACAAAATGTAAAAGATATTAAAATTATTTTTTATCAGATCAAAGTACTATTATTATTATTATTATTATTATTATTGTTATTGTTATTGTTATTGCATGTAAGTTTAGTGCAAATAGTTCTTTGATTAATCAACGATTAATTTCTTAAAAATATAAAAATTTCTGCAAATTTTTTAAACAAAAAAGAAGAAATAAAATAACTGCGAAAAATTTGTTTTCTCTGTAAAAGCAATGAGACCTTTTGGAAAATTTGTTACAGAAATTTAAAAACATGTTTTAGTGGAAATGAGCAAAATGTAATCTTTTTGAAAAAATTATTTCTTTATTTTATTACCTAATCTAGCAAGTTTTCTTTCTTATTTTTAAACTTTTCACATTGATTAATAACTTTTTAATCAGTTTTTGCATTCATTTATTATCAATTCTATGGTCAAGCAGTTAACAAGAAAAATACAAGAAGCATTTTTGTAAGTTTTCGATTTTTGATGCTTAATTAGTGCTTCAGATTCCAGCCATATTTTTTTTTAAGAAGGCAAGCAAATAAAAGTTTGAATTTTGATTAAAAAGTTTATTAGTTTTTAGCTTTGATTAATATTCAGAAGCAAATTTTTTTTGCTTTCTTTTTTTGTCAAGAAAGCATTTACAAGTAGAAATACACTGCATTACTTCTTGTAAACTTTGTCTTCATTTTATTAAAACATTTTAAAAATATAATATTGCTATTTTTTCATTTTGATATAAAAGGCTAAGAAATGCAGCTCGATATAGCTAGCATGTGCAATAGATGAGATGAATTCTGTGCTTAAAAATTAGCATAAAATATTGCGCTACAAATTTAGCATACTGCATATTAGCATACTTTTTTAGCATTTTTTTTACACTTAACTTTCTGTGCATTATTACATACAATGAGTAAAGTTTTGAAAATATTCTTGCAATAAAAAATGGCAAGAATCGCAAAAAGGAAATCAGCAAAGACGCTATTCATTTATTTGTTACTTTAACATTTTTGACTTTTTTGACGTAATAATCACTTCATAAAGTTTATTCCAAACTTTTTACTTGTTCGTTTGATAACTAGCTCCACAAATATTCGCTAAATGTAAATAAATGTGATAACATTACTAATTATAGAAGGAGGATATCCGATTAAGTTGCGCAGTTTTCATTGCTTAAAGGTTTAATTTAAATTTCGAATTAAAAAAAGTACTCAAAAATTATTTTGAATTTTTCAAGAGTATGTAAAGTAAAGTAGCTGTTAATTGCTACTAAAATTTGGCAATTAATTAACAAATAAATATCCAACAGTGCATAGTGCTACATAATAACCATAAAAAATTTATACATCAAAAGTTTAGTAATTAATTTTTGATCAAAATTTGTTCTATTACATACATAATTTGCAACTAAGAAATGTTTATAGAAGGAAGAAATAATTGTTTGCAATATAGAAGTTATATTTCATAGTTCGCTACAGTTCATTGTTCCTTCTGTAATTACAATCGTAAATGCTTTTTACTTGGCTTGATAAGTTCTTTTTATCGTTTGAATACTTCATTATCAATTTGTTATACAATTTTAGCTCACTTACCTTCATGATACTTTTTTGAGTTAAAAATTTTACGACCTTTTAAGGAAGCCTTTCCTTTATATTATTGTATGCTTATCAATTTTTGAATAATGCTTTCATAAGTATAAAAAATTGCAAAATTTGAGAATCAATGCATTTTTTTTCTAATATTTTTAATATAATACTAGAATGTATTGTTTTTCATATTTAATTATTGTATTGCTATGCAAAAAAGAAGTAATACACTTAATTAGCACCACAAAAATTAAGCTTAAATTAAATGTGTCCATTTGAAAGATTGTAATTTTGGTGTTTGATAAATTTAAAAAGTCAACAGATTTCATATAATATAACTATTTAGGAATGAAAATGATCATAAAAATTTGTACTTTTATTACTTTGATTGAACACATTTTTTTCATTCATTAATTTCAATTTTAAAATTAGAAAACGCCAATTTGAGTGGTAGTTTTTGTTTGTTAAAAATTCATAATAAATCACTAATGAACTCTCTGTGTGTACTCTTAAATATATAAATCTGTTCTATTTTTTTTTTAAATTTAAAATTAATTTTTTATAGATTGAACTTTTCTTTCATTTTACGTATGCAATTGAGTGTTGACCAAATTGTATTGTAGCGTTTGAGATAAGATTTCAAATTGGCAAGCGAAAAATAGACGTAAAAATGAGGACTATGTCTGATGCCAATGATCAGATGTTACCTATTGAGGAACAGCTGAATCCATCGTTTTTTAAAGTAAAAATTATAATTATTATAGCATTTTTTGTAGAATCAAAAAAAAAAAAACTGATTATATTTTATCAAACAGAATATTTTTGCCGAGTATAGAAGTTTTAAATAGTAGTCTTGGTGGATAACTTAGACAATAAGGGTAAGATTGATAACAAATTATTAAAAATTTAATAATTATGAAAATTGCTAGACTGGTAATTGTAGTTTTATTATATTATAATTTAAAAAAATATGTGTTAAAATATTTTGGTGATTAACTGAATTAAAAAAGTTATGCATAAACGATAAAGATAAGCTATTGTTTCAAGAGTGTTGATTATTATGTGGACAAAGGCATATCAGTGATATCACCAAAACTTGTGGAAGAATTCAATGTTAGAGGAATGAGTGAAGAAGAAAAACTGAATCACGTGAAAGGAATTTTAGCCATCATCAAACCTGTGAATAAAGTTAGTCTTCTTTGATATACTACTTTATAATAAATCTTCTTCCTTTTTTTATTGTAAATTATTTAATGCACCATATTTGATTTGTTTTATAAAACTTATCATTTATCGATTAATTTTTAATTATTTACTGATAATATTTAACAATTATCAGTTTTATTTAGTCAGTTAACTCTACAAAACCATAAATAATCATAAGTAATAATTACTTTCAAGAAATTTATCTATCTATCACATAACTTTTTTAACTTCTCATTTAAGTCTTAAATAGTCAAAATTTATCAAATTCTTGTAGATAATTCACTTAACATTTCCAATCCGTCGTGATAATGGTGAATTTGAAATAATTGAAGCGTGGCGAGCCCAGCATAGCGAGCATAGAACACCAACGAAAGGTGGTATTAGATTTGCTAAAAATGTTGATGAAGATGAGGTCTGACCTTTGTTTATGTGTTAATTTTTTGTATTATTTTTAATTTTAAATTTCTTTTTTTGCCTCATTTTTACTTATTTTTAAAAATTCTTGTCAATTATTTCAGTACCAAGACGCAAACAATATACTATCTCAATTAGCTACTAATTGAATAAGCTAATTTTAGCTTAATCGGATTAGCACAAAGATTGTAAGCAGTGTACATATGAAGGAATTTTTTTCAAGTTATTTATATTAATTTTAGGTTCGAGCACTTGCAGCACTTATGACGTATAAATGTGCTGTTGTGGATGTACCTTTTGGTGGAGCTAAAGGTGCTGTGAAGATTGATCCACAAGATTATTCAGTATATGAAATTGAGAAAATTACCAGAAGATTGGCAATAGAATTAGCAAAAAAAGGCTTTCTTGGGCCTGGAGTTGACGTTCCAGCACCTGATATGGGTACAAGCGATCGTGAAATGGCTTGGATTGCAGACACGTATGCGCAAACAATCGGATATAATGACAAGGAAGCATTTGCATGCGTTACCGGGAAACCTATCGTTTACGGTGGTATGCATTGTGATAATAATTTAGACATAAAATATTTTTAATTAATTAATCAGCCAATCAAATGATAACGCATAATAAAATATGACAAAATTTTACTTGCATATATTGTAATTAGGCTTAAGCGGAAGGACTGCTGCTACTGGACGTGGTATCTGGCAAGCCTTAGAAGCATTTATTCATAATGAAGAATACATGTCAAAGATTGGACTGTCTACTGGCTTGCATGGCAAAAGATTTATTATTCAGGTAATTATTACTGTGAAATTATTGTACAAATTTCATAAATTTATACTTTCTGCAAATTATAGCACTGAATTATGTCTTCAGGAACCGTTATTTAGAAGTCTTTTTCAGCAAGATTTGAGGTATTTGTAGCGCTAGCTTATTCTGATAAAATAAGTGTAAGTGTATGCAAATTAGATAGTTCAATTCTTTTTGAGTACTAATAATTCAGCTAGAAAATACTGGAAAAGTAAAGTCAAGAAGAAAAATTGATGATGCATTGGATTGAAAATAATCCCATACTATTTTAATCATTATTATATTATTATTTTTCTGGTTAAGAATAAGAAAACGGAAAAATTACGTAAAGTATTGGAAGAATTTTTTCTTGTATGTAACACAATAATAATATTAGGGCTTTGGTAACGTTGGCACTTACGCAGCGCAATATTTTGTGAAGGGTGGAGCGATCTGTATTGGTGTTCAAGAATGGAACTGCTCAATTCAGAATGCAGATGGCATCGATCCGTTTGCTTTACAGAAGTGGAAGGATCAACGTGGCACTATCAAAGTATGCAATGATTCTCACTTGAATGAATATATATTATTGTCTATTTAGAGTAATAATTAAGCTTTTCAAGTTCAAAAAAAATTCATTTTTGTTAAAGTGTTCTACTAAGAAACCAAATCTAAATATAATCACAATAAATAAATAAGCCTTCTAAGTCAACTTTTTTGTGCTATACTTTTTAAGTAAAGTAAATAAACAATTATTACAATATTTATTGTGTAGTTTGACATTTATCGAAAGTACGAAGAATTCTTTATTTTGAGTTGTAGAATTATCCGCAAGCAAAGGCATTTGAACCATTTCAAGAATTGATGTTTGAGCCTTGCGATGTTTTTGTACCAGCTGCTTGTGAAAAGGTCATCACAAAAGCAAACGCATCTCGAATACAGGCGAAAGTAAGTCTGGTTCTAAGTAAATAAAAAAGTTTTGATAGGTGAAAAATATCTGAAATAGTATGGTATTGCAGTGAGATTCTCAAATTGAATGCTACTTATACTGTAAATTATTTGTGCATGTATGATTTCAATATTTATATTAATAATAAAAATTTCCCATTAATGATTAATTCGAGCTATTGTAAAAATTTTTGTCTGCTTTTCATTGAGCAAAAGCGTTGTAAATGCTTGTATTATCAAAAACGTAATTCATTAAATTCATTCACCGATGGCTTATCGAATTTATTAATTGATAAAGTAATTATCAATAATTTATCTCATCTCAAGCAAAGTATTGATAAGAAATCGTAGTTGAAATAATTTTGATAGTTTAGATTATCGTAGAAGGAGCAAATGGACCAACGACACCTGCAGCAGATAGGATTCTGCTAGCCAAAGGTAATATCTTGCTCATCCCCGACTTGTTTGCAAACAGTGGTGGTGTTACAGTATCATTTTTCGAATGGTTGAAAAATCTTAATCACGTATCATTTGGTCGTTTAACATTTAAACACGAAGCTGATTCAAATCGAAAAATACTTGGTGAGCTAGTATGAATTACTTTGCATTAAGAAAGTTAATACAGTAACATATTTATGATAAATATTATAATCTTTTTTCTCAGTGCTTGAAATTACAATAGCCAGCCAAAAAAAGACAATTAATTTTGCATCAAACTGCACTTAATATTTCGTGTGTACTTTTTTATGTTAACCAATTAATTAATAACTTTAGTGCTGACATTAATTAAAACACTATCAAACAGACTAACGAGTTGAATCTCACGTATATCTTCTTCACTTCCTTTCATACATTTTCAAATTAAACAATTTTCTATGACGTGAAAGAAAATTCGTCTCCATTTTCACTATATTTTTATAATATAATGTGTTGTTTAGAAAGTGTGCAGCAATCACTAGAAGAAGCAATGAGTCAAAAAATTCCAATTAAACCCAATAGTGAATTAATGGGACGAATTAATGCAGCTGCTGGTGCTACATCTGAAGCAGACATTATTCATTCTGGATTAGATTTCTCGATGCAACGCTCGGGTTTGTTTCTTGCGTACGTGCATTTCTAGTGCTACTGAAGTTATCAAATTTGTATCACATTCACTGGGATAAATAATTTTATCAATTATTTACAAAACTAATATTGGACAATCATTCAAATTTTCATATATTTAGCAGATTCTACAGAGCTAAAGTGGATGATAATTTATTAGAAGCAAATATTTCAGATTTATTATTGCTATTCATGTAAAATATTTGAATTACAACTTCAGTTTTGAAATAAACCATTTGTTTAGTATACTGAAATTGAAAGTAGTGGTACTATATTGGGACTAATAACTAACTCATATCGAAAATTGTTTTCAAATTTTTTATCGTTTAATTAATTAAACTGAGAGAGATAAATGTAATATGAAGTTAAGTTATCAACTTCCGCTACTTGCATATAATTTAACTCTATTTTTTGGTTTTGAATTGATACAAATTTAAATTATATATAATTTCAGCAGAATCAATCATGCGGACAGCTCAGAAATATAATTTGGGATTAGATATTCGTACAGCAGCTTATGCAAATTCAATTGAAAAGATTTATAATACATATCGAACAGCTGGATTAACTTTTTGCTGAGCGAAAAAACTACCTACTTATCCATCTGCAAGAATAATTAATAAATGATTTGATAGCAATTTTCCATTGCTTTTTCCTTCCTCATTTTTTAGCTTCGCAAGTATGTAAGATAAGAAATGTATCTAGACTATAAATTGCCCTTAAACTGTTATAAACAATACATCAAGAAGTTAATAGTTAATTAATATTCTAAGGTATTTTTTCTTTTATTATTTTGTTATGATATCTATTACTTTTTAAAGTTAAAAGTAGTAGCAAATTTTGACTTCTGCGAAATATTATCATAATTTTTCGACATAACAAAAAAAGCATTATGATTGTTTGTACGTTAAAACAAAGAATTTCAGTCGATAAAATGATAAATGAGTAATTTTTACAGTATTTTTACAAGTTATTAGTAATTTTTTTTAAAAACGAAATAAAATTGTGATTAAATTACTTAAGCGTTACTTCACGGTATTTTCTACATGAATTTGTGATACAGAATGATCTCAAGTCTGAATCAAAATTTGTTAGTTTATACAAGAAAAATTAACTTACGTTCACTTATTTCTAATTTCGCTTTACTAATCTTTCACTACTATACAAACATTCATCGCGAACTTTAGCTGTGAGTACACAATACGAACGTATATTGTATATGAATTAAAACTGATAATGAGATAATTATTAGCATGTGTTATTTTCATCCCATCCCTTACTTGCTTACTTATTAATAATATTGATAATAATAATTATTATTATTATCATTTTGTTACTGATCTTTCAATAATCGTATTTTCTTTTTAAGTTTATCAGCAAAAACAATATTGTGATAGAATACGATAACATAAAAGTAACAACAGTGAATGATAATCTTTAAGCGTGTGCAAAAAGATTTTTTACGCAGACATATGGCACTTATGAATTTTATACATTTTTTCGTATTTAAAATAATTAAATTAAATTTGCTCAAAAAGCAAAATGCACAAACAAACATTGCAAAGTGATACTTTCCAAGAAAGATTGCATGAAATTTTAACACAGTTCGCAAATTACTTTTGGAAATACTCAAAATGCTTACTGGAATGTTCCAACAAAAATGCTTAAAAAATCAAAAGAATTTGAATTCAGCGAAAAAACAAGCAATGAAATCAAAGTACTAACAATGTAAATAGTAAATACAAAGATATTATCCAAATCACACTTTCATATTTTTGGAATTTCAGACATTTTCGCTATTGAATAATTATGGAATTTTTAATATTTTTGCAGAATTTGATATTGTTTAAATGAAATAGTGAATGCAAAAAATATAAATCTCTTATAGTTTGAATTTATAATTTTATTATAAAACTTCCTGAATTTTATTATTAATAATCAATAGTAGATGGTCAATTACTAAAATTAATAATAACTAAAATTTTTTAAGAGTAGAAAATAAACCAGAAATAGAAAATAGGCAATAGCAAGTACTTTCAGCTTTCTTCAGGAAGTTTTGAACACATAGAAATACTTTATTTTACTCAAAGTTTACTGTAAAAAGTTTTAGGACGATCTGAGGGGCTTCTCGTTGCATTTCTTCTTGAGAACATTATTTCTTCAGGTACTGTTGCAATTACTGTAACCCGTTGTAACTGCTGTTTTGCAAGATTGAAATGATCTTGACGTTTTGTTCGAAGATATTTGCTATAATCTTGTATGTCATGCAAATCTTCATGCATTTGCTGTTTAGAAGATACTGTCGTCATATTATGGTTAACAGATCGTGCTCGTAGTGGTTGTTGCTTTAGGCATAGTTGTGGTTTATGATGAATTTTGATATATTTCACTGACTTGGAGGCTACAGTAGCATTCATATCTGTGCAAGCTTTAGTTGCTTGTTGCGAATACGGACAACTTTGTGAATGTTTATATGAACTAGAGTCAAAATTACTTGATGAATTTGGCGTTGAAATAATCGATGATGGCTTTTCATAAGATAAAGGGAGATCAGAAGATTTTAACTGATTTGGAAATTCATCAATTTTTGCACTTAATTTCTTTTTATTATCATACGATACCTTAGATTTTGTTGAAGTTTGTTCACTTTGTATTATATCGATTTCAGAAGATGGAAACTTTCTACAAGGTTGTATAGCAACAGATTTAGCGAGACTTCGTAAACTACTACGTGAACTATTCGCATAACGTCCAGAAAGACGCGCTGATGGCGCTAGCATGAAGGTTCTAGAAGTCGGAAAAATCACGGGCACAGGATGTGTAGCCGGTTGCATAATAAGGGCCAATCCTTTCGACGACTTGTCCTGTTCGCACTGCTCCTGGAGGGAGTTTACTTGGGCATGAACGGAATCTGTAACAAAATATTTGAAGATGTAAGCGTTTGTTCATTTTTAGAAAGAAACTTATTCACTGCCATTTTATGATGATCTACTTTAAAAAAGATCATATAATTCAAGTGAAAAACTAGAATTAAATGGCCTATTTACTGAATTTTTCTATACTTAAAAATCAAAATTTGCAATTATTATCAAGGAGTCTCGATTATTATCTGTTAAAAGTTTTCATTTTGATATGAGAGAAAGAATGAACTAAATTACAATTTACATGATCGAAAAATATGTATTGAAAACGTTTATTGTTATACCTTCAGTGATAATTTCTAAGATCGATAATAAGTATTTATAACTTAGCTGTGTTAAGTGAAACGTGAGAAATCACAACGTGTACGAAAATAATTAATTAATTACCAAGTGTATAAGTGATAAGTAATTTAAGTTTCACAAATACCGCTAAACGTATGAAAATAAATAGTAATTTCTAAATCAAAGTTATAACCTTTGGTGATATACTTGTTGCGATGTTGGGGCAAAGTAGGTATTGTACTGTACGGGGAATCTGATTCTACCTTCTCTATTATAGGGCACATTACCATTTTCGGCACTGTGTGCAAACCAGGCATTAAATGCGTCATAGTAGTCACTACCGGATCTCGCATAATACTGTTCTCGTTGCTGCTGCTGTTGGTCTTGTCCGCCGTAGTAATAGTACTGTAGCTGTCGGTGTGATTGCTGTTGACGGCTTTCATATTTGCTAGAACATGTTGAGATTTGAAAAAGTAATCCATCAAATATCTTTTTAAATTTTTTTTCTAAATGCAACTCTTTTTAAAACTCAACTACTTTTTGTTCCATTTTTTACAGTTTTCACTAAGATATTCTCTACAATACTTTGAAAATTTGAAATTTTATTGCTTATTTGTCGAAAATTTTCCTTTTAAAATATATAAATAATACATTATGCTATTTTAGTACATGTCACCCTAATATAAATGTCTTTTAATGCTTTTGTTTGATCTTATTTGCCTCTTTATGAATGTCTAGCTATAATCTACTTACTTGCTAGTCTAAATGGTAGCTTAGAACATATATGCGAAAATTCCTTTCAAATTTGTAATGACTATAATTTTTTCTATAACTATAATTGATATAACAGTATACTTTGTTGGTTGATATGTGGTATGTGTGTTCGCTCGTTGGATACTGTCATATCCTTCTCCAATGTACACTGCATTTTGGCACGCTCTCCTTTCGATTGTTCTTTGTTCCTAAAAAATAGAAAAATTTACGCTGCGTATATTTACGTACGTATTACCGTTACTAACATGCAAAATTGAAACTAATTGCTAACCTTCTGAACTAATGTTGGATAGAATAATAAATGAGTACTGAAAAAGAAAATTTAGACTGCAGTCAAAAGTTAGCTAAATAGCTAAATATAATCATAGTTTTTGATACAAACTTATTCCATACAGTTGCAGTTTTGATCTGCCTGTACTGTCAACTGTAACTTATTCAATAGTATTCAATGAAATATGATGTACTTGTGTGCATAATACTCATTTACATACATCTGAACATGCAAAAATAAAAATAGTTGATAGATAATGCAAGGGCAGTGCATAAGAAGCTTAAAGTGCAAAAGCAAAACTTTACTTTTTTTGTAAAAGCTTAAAAAAGACTAAAAATAACACAGTTTGGACTATGCTTGAATAGGACAACAATAAGTAGATAAGTAATTGAGAAGAATAACTTAGACTGTAGTCAAAAGTATTATTAATTTTACAGAAGAAAGATATGACGAGAAAAGGTTTCTATCAGGAAAGAAGCAATAGCAATCTGATTCATTCATCCAAGCAATGTTTATCAATTGTGAAAGTAACTGATAAATTGGGGATGCTTGAAGCACAAAGGAGAATAGTTCAGAAAGGTTTATCCTTAAGCTTATAGGTCACCCGCCCACCTCTCAATAAATTTACTGTAGAACTTGGAATTTGCAACCCGAATATAGCCACAAGCGGGTAGCTTCTTTCCGTTTTCTGTCTTGTACGTTCCATATATGTCCTACAATTGTCTTCTTATTGCAAAAAATATCTCAAATGATTGCCCCTATCAAGTATATTCTATAAGACATATTTTAGTGCTTCGTATAATTCTTTTTTTATGCATTTTTTTTACAAACAAACTAAGCTTCAACTTTAAGTGCTAGTCTATTCGCTGAGAGACAAGGATTAATAGTTCTTGCTTACTGATTAAATGTATAACTTTGTGAGTATGAAAAAAATGATATACGATGAACTAATTACAGTATAATGCATTTAGATTAGAAAATAGTAAGTTAACTAAATGTGCTCAATAACATTGTGGATATCTTTTCAAATTCAACAAATTTTTCAGGATACAAAATAGAACTTGAAATTTGCAACCCAAATATAGCAAGTGAATAATTAAACCGTTTTGAATACGAATTCATAAATTAATACAGGAACTGAGCATAATTTAATATAATGCTAAGATGCAAAAGAATTAAATTCAAAAGTTGTCGTCTCACAATATATATGAATCACATTTGCAAAGTTATTTAAATTTAAAAAATCAAAAAAAACTTACGTTTGCACCGAATTCATTACTTGCTGACTTTGGTTTATACGGTGGTGGTGCTCCACGTGCTAACTGGTTATTTTCTTTACTCCATTCTCGATGACTTTTTAGTCTAAAATTATAACCAATAATACTATGCTTCATTTTATTTCAAATAATAAACCTCATAAAGTTTAATTAAGATAACCATGCCAAATAATCATTGCTAATTTCACTAATAAGTCTTTCAAAAGTAGTTTTTTAATAATCTTTCCAAAAATTGAATTTGCAAACCTATTAATTTTATCATCAGTGAAATCGTACTGAGCAGTTCCTGATAATGCTGCTTTTTCTGGTGACACATCACGTGATCGTGAACCGCCAAGTTTTTGAGTAATTTTTGAAAATATGCTACTGCAAATTGGAAGTATTATAAATACTAAATAGCTGCTCATGATTAATACCAACAAATTATTCAAGCAAACAATAATGGAAAAATATTAATTTTTAGAAGTTGTATAAATCAGAACTTACCTTCCAATTGATTTTCTCCGCTGTTGTTTTTCCTTGTTGGTAGAAGACAGTTCCTGAGGTAATGGTGCACAAGGCTCGTTCAAATTTCTATCTAACAATCAAAAATTTTATACCGACTTGAATAAAATGAATAAATTTTATGATATATTCTCCAGCAAAAAAATCAAAGTAATAATAAAACCGCAACGAATAAGTTTGAAAGTGATCTGCTTACTTATCTCGTTTTGATCTTCAGTACCAGAAGTGCATGGCTGAGAGCAACCGTTAGATCGAGATTTTTGGGCTCGTTTCAGAGCATTTGGATGGCCACGTCTGGCAACTTGCTCTGTTCGAACAGCATCTCGTAGAGCTGATTCATTTGGATGCCTAAATAAATTGAAAATCGCTTTTAGTCAAATCCAAAATTCTGTTAAAAGCATATAATAAAACTGAAAGTGGTTAACTAATGACTTACGATGAAAAACTTTCTGGTATGGATGACTTCTGCGCCTCCACACTTTCGAGGCTTTGTGAACGACGATTTGGAGATACTAAAATTAATCCATATAAAACACATTTTTTATCAGAAAAAATCGAAGTTAATTGATTAAAAAGTCAAATTCCAAGCAGTGTGAAAGTTTCGTTTCCGTAAGTACTAGATTACGAATGAATAAGTATATTTAAGTTAATTAAAAATAGAATAATAATTATGAGAAAAAAGGGAGATGTTTCGCTTCATCACAATCAGTAGTTGCAACTCAGGACCAGCACAAAATCAAATAATAATACTTACTACTACAGTACTGATTATTCACTTAACAATCTGAAGCAAACAAAAATTAAAATAATCAGCTCTACTTTAATTTTGTAATTGAAAAAAGATTGAATTAATGAATGGAAATTATCCTTACGTGATGTACAAGCATCAGTAATGCTTTCATTATAATTGGTACTAGAAGTAAAATTTTCTAATGGAAGTGGAAGATTTCCATCATGATAATTAGTAGACGATAACTTTATGACCCCTGTACCAGTAGAAGATCGAAATAACGCTGAACTTCGACAGCGGCATCTTTCTCTCAAAGATGTTGCACTACGTGTTGAAGATGTCATACGTGATTGCTGTGGTGGGCTCACAAATGGAGCGAAACGTTGTAAAACAGGTGCTGAAGCGTTAAAAAATGATGCAAGCCAAAAAAATTAACAAACAACATGTTTCACAGAACAAAAAAATTCAAAAGCAAAAAATATTAGCAACAATCAACTACGTGCATGAAAAAAATTTTTAAATCACAAAACAACTAAATTTGACGTACTTTATGATCTCTTGAACAATTAGTTCTACCAAGAGCTCATTCCTCAATTTTGAATGAAGCCATAAAATTTCTACTAGCAAATCAAAAAAGCAAGAAACAATAACTCAAGCATGCGTAACTAATGCCATGCATATTAATTAATATTCCACGTAGATTAATTAATACATTTAGATACTTACCACTTGTTTGACGATTACGCTTGATATTTTGTAAAAATGTTGAGCTAGTGAGATCGCTCGCAACACCCATGTGACGTTTTTCTGATATCGACCTGTCAGTAAAAAAAATAAAAGATATGGTTTCAAGAACTTAAAAAGTGAAAATGATAATGAATCAAAAATAAATAAAGCCTCATAAAAATCAGTGTTATAGTGCAAACTTCACGTTTTTTTTTTCCCGAAAATATTCAATCAAAACGTAAATCAACCTTCTTGCAGGACTCTTTCTACTGAAAGCATCCACATCAACGCGACTAATTTCATCTTCTGACACACTTCTATGTCGATCGCTAGTAAACGAATCTGAATCTTCGTTTGAATTTCTAAAAGTATTTCCGCTGAAATTACTTGAAAATTCTGAAGCAGTTTTACATTACAGTGAAATACTTTTGAATATACTAGAAATTAAGGATAAGTAGCAAAGTTGTTCCATCAACTAATCAAAAGAAGTTATTGAACATTTTTCAAGAATTAAAGGAAATTCACATTAAAAAGATTCAAATTAGAAAAAAATGAAGGATTTTTATATAATTTGTTGTGTTTGTGCGTATAAATTTCAATACTTGTTATCCATGTAAAAATATTTAAATGGCAGCGCCAATATCAAACTCTAAAAGTAATTAATATAGCATAAAAATACTTACCTTAGTTGTTGTCTGAATTTATTCTGTCGTAATTGCTGTTCGTTTAAAAGCGAGGCTTCTAAAATAGACCGTTTGAATTACTTTAAAATTTATATATTTTATCTATTCTGTTCGTGCTAATATTAAACTTAAATTAGAATACTTTCAACATAATTTGAGAGGAGCAATTGAGATTAACTAAATGTTTACAGTAATCCGTACAAAAATGTCATTTTTTATCTTAATTCTTAATAATTATTAAAATTTTTAAACCTATCTATTTTGATCAAATTTCATACTTTTTGTCCTTAAAAATTCATTAAATAATAAACATCAACTTCTGTTGCTTCATTTCAGCATTTTTCGAAATGAGATATGAAAAAAAACAATAAATTAAATTTTACCCGCTGATTTTGTCTTAAAATTATCATTTTTGTCAGATTTATCATAAATTGGATCCAATGATTCATCTGTGCAATTTCCTACACTTGAAGAAACAGTGTGATGATGCAAGACGATTTTTCTTGCAACTCGTAAGCGCACGCTGCTAGCATTCGGTCCTACAGTAAACTTCTTGTGACCAAAGCTGATGATGAACATGCAACATATGACACATCACAAATAATAAATACTATTGTGCAAGCAAGTACAGCATAAAGATTATTTATACTGTACATTTGAGTACAAATTTATGATTACCAATGTTTTTCAAGCATCTCGTAATTGCATCGCTAGCATCTGAATTTTTACTCATTCGCTTCAGGTCAATATCTTCAATTCCTATTAATTGATCATTTACTTGTAATCGACCATCTTTATACGCAGCGCCACCATGTAAAACCTACAAAAATAGTTTCTATTGTACTAAAAAAATTTTTTAACTCATCAAAAATTTATTATTTAAAATTTTTGCTAAATTAATTAGAGTAATTTTACATTTAAATTAAT